AGTTCTGTTGGCCCTTGTTGAGATTCCTGAATCTTGCTTGTCAGTTGATACTCTGCTGCTGTTCTCTGCTCCACTAGGAACTGATCTCCCAGGCGGGTTTGGATCCAGTCCTGGATGCCTCCCATGAGGAGCGGGTGCGTCAGTACTCCAAAGTGTCCCTGCAGGGACAGCTGTTAGAGAAGGGCTGGTGCAGTCTGGTTCCACAGCTGCTGGAGTCCACTGAGCATGACTACAGAGAAAAGGTAGGCTCCTTGATATATTGTAGACTAAGATAAAACGATCTCGTTCATTAACACAACACAGATTATACGCAGCTTTAATGTTAAATTATCGGGATTAACCAAACTGGCTAAACAAATATATATAGTCCTTGAAAACGGAGCCTTGTCCTAAGACTTTGTGTCGTCTTTTTCAGGCTCTCCGGGCTTTGTTGGCCATGGCTCCTGTATGTTTGGATCACTACCGTTCAGACGGCGCTTTGCTGGGCTCTCTGCTCTATCTCAGAGACCAGTACCAGGAAATGGTTCAGTCAGAAATGATTCTCGGAGAAGAGAACAGCTACTTTGCAGAGATTATAGAACTAATAGATGCGCTGCAAGTCAAAATGAAATGACCAGAAGATTGTACATGGACATGTTCTACCACTTCTTAACCACTCCTCAAGTACAGACGGACAGTTCTTCAAACACGAGTGCAAATTAAGGACAAGGATCACATCTGTGAACACTTTAAGCAGACCCAGTAGATGATCTCTGTTCTCTGTTTTGAGCCTCATTGCCTCCTCTGCCATCTTGTTTGTGACCCAAAAATCTTGAAAGGTGTTTTCATTTTTGAAATGCACCTTGAGGAGAGAGGAAACTTGATTAGGAATGCAGAGGTGTACGCTCATATCCTTTGCAGAAGTTTCGTTGGCAAACATTATTTAATTGATGTCACTTGAAAACAACAGCTTTGAGGCAAGGATGCATAATGTTGTTAAATTTCTGTTCACCCGACCCTCTCTCCTTGTGTCTCTTGCTCGCCACCTCCACGAGCATCTCAGGTGGGTGGAACTAAGGTGTGAGAATAGTGGCTGAGAAAAGGAATCGATGACAGATAAACTTAAAAACCAGAAGATTGATACGACCAGCTAATTTCCTTGATTGCCTTTGAACCGTTTGCAGGAGTGGAGGGGATTGGAGATAGATTTATCTTTTTAAGATTGTTGTGGGAAAATATTTTTGTTGTTATTAAAAAATATATTATTTTAAAATGATGGTGTTCTGTCTATGCATTCTGGAGCAAATGAGGTGTGACCACACCATAATGAGCTGAGATCTGATTCATGTTTTACAGCTAAATCTGTGTTTCCCTCTTAGCAGGATGCTGTAATTTAGCACTGCAGTCTACAAAATGACATAAAACANACGCACAAAAAAATCCAGATGAACGAAAGTGAGCGTACGCCTGAATCCAGCACATTTCCTTTGTACATCTCACTCAGCGTGGAATTGACCGCACATGCTGGAGTACCAGACTCCTCCCTCCCCACGCCCCCAATTTACATATGCAAATTAGTATAAACAGGGCCGACAGGTGGGATTCCCCTCTCTGCAGGATCAGAAAACAGTAACCAGGATGAACTCATCCTGTTTGAGCAGAGAGTCTGTTGTGGGTGACACTGCTGTCACAGGGGTGGTGGGAGCACACGTGGGTCACTCAGATCCACACCAAGGTAAATATTTATTGTGTAACTCACAGATTTATTCACTACACGGGTCATACAATAATCTGCTCACAGCCAAACACAATGCAGGTTCTTGCGTAATCATGCCAGGATATCAAAGAGGAAATCAAAACTTTGTCTCATGTCAGATTACTCAATTTATTATTTTCCAACAGACAATGAGGCAGGAGAAAACTGTGAGATGCAGTCCCAGCCTCGTATCATAGACTTGTGGGATTCCTCCAGCCTCCCCGGCGTCAGCTGATCCTCCGGTCCGCCACAACAACCAGCTGCTGACGCCTGTCCGGGGCGCACATGCATGTCGGGGGATTAATATTAGGACAATTAAATGACTTACTCACCAAGAAGCCACCCATCCCGCACTGTGCCAGCTTGTAGCCTGTTCCCAACCACGCTGTTGGTCAGAATGAATGAATCCTGGGCTGATCCAGGCCACCTCGCAACAACGTTACTTAAATGTATTTGCCATCACAGATGATCTGGACATTGATTGAATGAAAATGCTTCCTGTTTACATAAACAAATCCATGACCTTTTTTTTTTTTTTTACATAGTTTTTTAACATTTTTATATTCCCAGCATCACCTCTAAGTGTCGCCAACGGCTCAAAAGCAATAGAAACGTGCGTACGCCAGTCAAGGAGTTGGCGTGGAGGACCGCACATTTCCACGTTCATTTCACTCTTGATACATCTGAACGTGAGCGTGGATAAGTGCGTACGCCGAGTTTCTGTGCGTACCCACGCTTTGTACATGAGGCCCCTGGACTGTA